GGCTACAAGGTGAAGCCACTGCATCAGAAGTTGTGTTTGCAGAGCAGTATGAGGGAGCACTGACTAAGTTACAGAGTTTTCAGTCTCATGGTAGTGAGGCTTTCACCAAACCTAGTGCCAGCACCAGACAGGGCCTAGGGGCTGTGAGGAAAGCAGCGGAGGCAGGTGTAGCTAAAATGACCATATCCGGCATTGTAGATCAACTTCTGTTGTCACAGAACCTGCCTCAATTCAGCCAGGACTTATTGGAAGCCGTGAAGTCTCAAGGAGCATCCAGTATGTTTTCTAGTCACATCAAGGCTGAGGATATTCCATGTATGATAATGCTGGATTTAGCATGCTGTGGCTGCAAGTCATGGGAGACCTGCAGCAGTATGCTGAATATGGCAAATAAAAGACTGAATGGAGAAGGGAACACCAGACATGTTCATCTTGGCGACTCTTCTAAAGATGCTGTCAAATCTTCGAAGCATGAAGTGCAGTTGAAGGGCATGATGGGTTTCTTGGACCAGTTAACCAAGCTTCACACCCAAGGCACAACAGAAGGAATGGCTCCTCAGGGGAAGGTAGAGGGCAGCACTATGTATGTCAAACAGAGCGCTAATCAGTGTCTGACATCTGCAGCCCTGCCTCTGGACCTGACATCATTTCAGCTCTACTTTGCTGCAGTCATGGATTTAGATAAGGGAGTGGAAGGTGTGGAAAAGGTGAGATGTTCAGTGACTGAACAGAATCAAGAAAGGCAAATGCCTGCTTGGGATGTGTTCAGGATCCTCATTAATTTCTAGAGCTTATAACCAAAAACTATATCAAGTCTGAACCTAAAAATACCATATAAAGATGTATTTTTGCATTCCTCTCGTTGCTCCCCTATATTCACCTTGCAATTGTGTCTTATTAGCTTGGTTTTCTTTGAATTAGGCATTGGAAAATGCTGCAAGATTGGAAAGAAAAGCAGCATTTAGTGGAAAAAAGAAAGTGAAACTGAAACCTGTCACTCATAGCAGCATGAAGCTGTTAATGACACACCATAAGCAACTGGTTCCTGTAGCTGGACTACAGGCTTACTTTCTCAGGTTTGTATTTTTGCTTTTAAGAGTCTTAGGGCCCATTGCTAATCCAGTAGCAAAAGTTTTATTTTAAAAAATGTACCTTCTCTGCAGACCATGTGATGAAGATCTACATTTTACAACAGAAGCCTGTGTGATACCTCTTATGTCCAACCCACTATTTTTGTTATTAAAAAAGTAGATTGAATTTTTGTGATTAGGAATAGAAATCACATGGTTTGTTGAGTTAGCATATACTGTCATAATCAACCTGAATGGAAAAATGGCCCCAGTTCACAATCTGACCCTTTATGTACCTTTAATTGCAAACATATCATTTAAGAAATAATATGCCACAAAATTATTTTGCCATGTTTCAAACATGGTATTTCTGATCACTATGGTATGTAATTTTATCCTTTTAGGGATCAAAATATGAGCAGTAATACAAACTACCTATTTACTCTGTACAACCATGTTAAGCAGTTGGCCTTTTTAGTAGCAGAGTGCGAAAGCATAGAAACAGGTTTGTAATTATTTTAAGATTATGTTACAAGCTGTTACAGACTAGCATTTCAGTTCCTCACCTTTAATGATGATCAAAATAATGAAAGGTAAAAAGTATTTCATGTAAACAAGGAAAAATATACTTAAAGGGATAATTACTCTTCATATGATATCTATATTTCACAATAAAAACATTGTGAACAACTCATAGAAATATAATATATTCTGTTTTACCACAATAACGGCATTTACAGCTATTATTCTGATATATGAGCTTGTCTTCAGACCACGTGACCTCCATTGATGGCTGTACTCTGTTATAATCTCTTAAGAGATTTTAACAAAAAACCAAACTTTTTAGAAAAAAAACAGGGACTAACTTTGAATGTAAAAATGGATTCATTAACCATTGGTTAGTATGGGAAAATTGTTGTTTACTCCAGGAAAATTCATTTTTTGGCCAAAACGAAGAGTTATTATCCCTTTAAATGACGCTGCTTTCATGGTTTGGGTGAGATTTAATTAGCTTACTCTTTCAGTGGATCCAAGGGGCAATTACTTCAAAATGTTACAAGAGGGGCCAACTCAGATTCTTGGAAAGCTCATGTTTGGGAAGAAAATGCCACCCACTAGGTTAGAATATTTTTGCTTCTGTTTACTTGTTTTTGTTTACATTAAAAGTAGTAAGTTATGAGCTATGCATAAACATTCATTTGGAGGATTCATTGTTTAGTTAACACATTTTAGTCATTCATGATAAAGAGAAAAACTGATGAAAAATTATTTGCATTTCTGGCACTGAACATTAAAGGTATACGATCGGATGCTCTATTTTACAGTTCCATCTATTTAGAATTCTGTTTTGAGTGGTCCTACCACGTGGGTAGATAATGACAGCTCAGTTTGATAGTTTAACCTGCTAGCTCCCTCTCCTTTGAGACTGCATCAGTTCTTGTTACATCAACCGACCACATGACCTCGTAACTCATTATTTTCCAGACCTGGCAAAAGGACAGATTTTTTAAAGCTTGATATTTACATTATGAACTTTCATTTTGTATATTTTGATAAGTAAATTTTTGAGATTGGCTTATTTTCTGAAGGATATTCATTCAAGCTATTCTGTTAATGTGTTGCATCTGCTTTAACATTTTTCATGCCATGACATTCTAGACTTGAAGTAGTTGCCAAGAAGATGAAACTAAATCTGACTCGTGTAATAGTGAAAAACTGCTGTCCTGACATTCCCTGCAGGTATCCTGTTGCCGGTGTCATGCAAGGTAAAGTGAGCGTTATAATATCCCTCAAGAAAAATTATCCTGAGAAGTGCAACATTACTTTGAAATTGACAGAAAGTGCAAAGAATTTGTCATGTTCTAAACAAATGACATTACTTTGATATTCTTCAGTGCAAAGTGGAAGACCAAAGTCAGGCCCATAGCCAGCTATTTGAAAGGGGGGGTTTCTTTTTCT